GCAAAATTAAAGCTTAATTTGGGTAGAACTCAATACTGAGTCATGATTTAATAGATATGAAAATTATATGAATTAATTCTACATTTACTTATTAATGAATTACATTTACAAATTTACCATCAAAAGATCACGATGCAATAGAGTAAATTATGCGATGGGATCGAGGTCAATTATGCGATGGATGTGAATTATACAAATTATGCAGCTTTCAGAATCTTTATATAAAATTGTGATATTCATATTTAGGAGGTTTGCTAGGAAAATAGAGTTCTGAGGTCCCTTCAATTAAAAATGAGATTTTTCTATTTTTATAAATTTTATATCTTCATGATACCAATACTTGCAAAAATGAAATTGGGGATCATCTAAAGCCAGGTGCGTTCACGTGATCATTATATTTTTTCTAAATCAATAATTTTTTGTCATAAATTTGCAACTATACATTATGTTTGAGACAAACTTCTTCTGGTATTCTAGAAATCTCTATTATTCTTTATTAACAAATAAAACAATCTTTAATCAACAATTTCATATATATTAACATTGGTATCGTCTTATAAATAAATATAAGCAAAAAAAAAATATATTAATTGGTAAAAAAATTAAAATATAAACATATGAAATTAATTTATATCTAATAGATTTCTTGTATCTCGATCTCTTAAACGATCCTTTATTATTCATTTGATACATTTATTAATTTAAACTAATATTTCAGTTCAAAACAAATATGTATTACCTGAACTGCTATTGCTTTCAACATGTTCAGAAGTTTCATTATCTGACCTATTTGAACCTGCTTATTCATGCAATAAATATATTATAAATGAAAAAGTTAGTACAAAGTTGTTTAAAAAATATATGAGTAAATTTGCATATACTTAATTGATTCAATCTTCTTTCGCTTATGTTTCTTAAACTAGTTTCTAAATTTATAGCCTTCTGTTTTAATACAATGATCTGATTCTTGAGTTCGAATTCTGTAAAATCTCTTGAATTAAGATCTTCTTTATGTTGTTCTTTGAGTTCTCTAATTCTATTTTTAGCAAAATCTTTTTTATGTAACGCATCATTAACCTATAACATATGAACTTATCAATTGTCATCAGTGCCCATTATCATCAAGTCAAACCAGAGAATTTCTCGTGATAAACTGGAAGTCAATTGGAACTTTGCCATCTGAACTAGGCTTGTGCTGTAAATATTCGGAT